CCATTGGAGACCACCCACCAATTTGAGACCACAAAGCCATTGGAGACCACCCACCAATTTGAGACCACAAACCCATTGGAGACCACCCACCAATTTGAGACCACAAACCCATTGGAGATCCGATGAACTGTTCCAATCGGTACACGACTGAGAAAAGTTCAATGCATTCTCACTAACCTCAAATAGCAGTGAAACATGAAGTAAGGAAGCAGTGGGGCAGCTAACTACTAACCTGTAGGCCTATGCCAGATTGTCCAAACTATTGCCCTAGCAGACGACTGAATGGTGCCCGTCTTAGATTGTTCTACGATTGCTAAGTTAAGAATCCCGAGGTTCAGAGAAATTAAAATTAACTTCTTTTTTTTTTTTTATTGGACAAATTTTGCGCCATACCATAAATGCTCTTTTGAAATAAATAATCCCAGGGCATAATTTCAAAATAATTAGATCCACTGTGGCAAGGGGAGACGCCTTTAGACTGATGCTAATAATAGATGAACATGAGTTACGCGCCCGTCCTTAGGATATCTTGGTCTTCAGACCTCAGCTTTAATTTGCCCCCCCCCCCCGACCACGCCCATCGGTAGCAAATTATCAGTGCTGAGCCAGAGCCAATATGCCCTGCTCAAAGGTTTAATTTAAAAGGTATTGTCCTATCTCAGTGGTTCTTAACCTTTTTGGAGGTACCGAACCCCACCAGTTTCATATGCGCATTCACCGAACCCTTCTTAATAGGAAAAATAAAATGTGATTTTTTTCTGATTTTTTGGGGGGTACCTCGGCCGAACCCCTGAGACTGACTCACCGGACCCCTGGGGTTTGATCGAACCCAGGTTAAGAACCACTGTCCTATCTAATAACCTCCGTAAAGCTGGGCGGTCGAACTGAAGAGATAGGCGCTCCTTAAGGCAGCCCAGTGCATTGATCGCCCAGGAAAACTGTACAGAAGATCGATCCATCATAGGCCATGGACATTGAAGAAATCGGACATTTGGTTTGTTTAAAAAAATACAAAAATAAGGAGAGAGAAGTAGTTTAATAAAAAAAAATAGATTTTTTTACATAGATGTTTTTGGGGGAATGTATTGAGAGATGGGACATGTTCGGGGGGGGGGGCGGGGGGCATGGGGTGCTTGTTGGAACACATGCCATGTGAGGCATGACAAACAGCGATGCATCGTTAAAAAATGTCACATTATTGCGGTGTCATATACACATGTCACATGATTACAGTATCATACACATATCACAACATGACTGCATAACCATAACTAATTGCCAAGAACCGCTCACTGACAGCCACAGAAGGAATCAATAAAAAATAATGTGTTGTGACTCGCGCTAACACCTGGCTGAAGTGACATGCATGGCTGGGGTGACGTGTATGGCTGGAGTGACAGATATGGCTGGAGTGACAGGTATGACTGAAGTCACAGATATGGTTGGAGTCACAGATATGTTTTGGAGTCACAGATATGGATGGAGTGACATGTATGGATGGAGGGTCATATATGGATAGATTGACATAATATTGAAGGAGTAACAGATATGGGTGGAGGAACATATATGGCTGGAGCATGGGTGCCCGCAGGTAGGGGCAAGTTGGGGCACTTGCCCCCCCCCCCGGATTGATTGGATAAAAAAAAATTTAGACAAAAATAGACAAAAAAGTTATTAAAGTAAAGAGAAAATAAAGAGAAAGTAACTAAGCTGATGTCCTGTCCGTTCGTTCACCATACAAATACGCTACAGTAAATTAAAACTACATTAAAACATTACAACAAATTTTTTGCCCCCCCCCCCTGGAAAGTTAATCGATTTTTTTGCCCCCCCCCCTAGAAAGTTTTCTGCGGGCGCCCATGGGCTGGAGTGACATATATGGATGGATTGACATTCATAGCTTAGGTCACAGATATGGATGGAGTTGCATATATGACTGGAGTGGCATACATGGATGAATTGACATATATGGATGGAGTGACAGATATGAATGGAGGGGCATACATGAATCGAGTGACAGACATGTATGTAGTGACAGATATGGGTGGAGTGACACATGGTGACAGATATAAGGTCAAACCCGACAGTCTTATCTCCTTGTAATTAGAAGAACGCGTGCCACATNGGGGGGTGGGGGGGGGGGGGGGGGAGGGCATGGGGGGTTGGGTCTGTGTTTGGGCCCGCTCATGTGTCCAATAGTTAATTTTGTCCACTGTGCGTGCTGTGTGTAACTAGGAGCACCTGCTCCACGAGGCGAGACGGTGGGAGTAATCTTTTCCTCATTTGCAAGGGGCGAGCAAAATTTATTAATCCGCGACGTCAATAAAGAGACAAGTGGCGAGGGTTACGGTTCGCTGGAGGTGAAATTTTTGAGTGCTAAAGTGGTGTTGGGGGGGGGGGTGGATTTAGCTGTGGTGGTGGTGGGACAGTTTTATTGTGGGGTGGGGGGTGCAGGCGTTGACATCGGTGAACGTACGATCATCCGGGGACACGGTTGAATGGGATTTAGGAGTGGAAGTGAGCCATCATTAGAAGTATCGGTATACACGCGAAATCAGTGTTGCCGTTCGGATGTCCACTCTCACGGGGAAACAACATTGAGAAATAAAACAGTTGTGCTGATTGTCTTTGTCGATTCCCAGCTGCTCACCGGCAGTGTCAGTTAACAAAAAATACTGTCATTGGCAACAAAAAATACGCTCATTGGCAATAAAAAATAATGTCATTGGCAGTTTCATTTACAAATAAATTGTCATTGGCAGTGTCAATAACAAAAATTCGTGTCATTATTAGTGTCAATAACAAACTCCCTGTCAGCGACTAATTTGTTAATGGCACATATAGTGAGAGTATGTTTGTTGTTAACACTGTCGGCGACAGTGAATTTGTGTCAATAGCAAAATGTATTGCCATTTGAGCAGCAATATTTTATGACTTAGTAAAATTATTTAAATTCTGTAATTCGACACTTAGGCCTAACTTCATTTGACACTTAGGCCTAACTCAATTTGACACTTAGGCCTAACTCCACACAGACTGAGCCGTTGCATTAATTTCGGTGGATCCTGCCACTTTTCTATTTAGTACCCCCCATCATTAAAAATTGATAATTTGTAAAAAAAAAATTTTTTTTCCAGATAACAACTTAGGCCGTTTAAATATCCATTGCCCCCTGTAGCCCTATGGGGTTGCACAGTCCAACGTTACGGACATATTCAGTTAGTTGTGGATGTCTACGGACCTGGATCTGGCATGCCCAAGATTTGGTTTATTACATTGTTTAAAGTCTCCGCCAAATGTGGGCTTCAGACTAACAGCTTTACTCATTCGATTTGGTAGACACATGTTACTCATCCGGATACTGCAACCGACTAAAAAAATTATTTAACAAAAGCATGGGCAGATTCAAGATGAGGGCACAACTAAAGCATGGGCAGATTCAAGATGAGGGCACAACTAAAGCATGGGCAGATTCAAGATGAGGGCACAACTAAAGCATGGGCAGATTCAAGATGAGGGCACAACTAATGCATGGGCAGATTAAAGAGGAGGGCTCCAAATAAAATAGGGTAAGAGCCAACTATGGCAGGGAAAGAGTTAAGGGTAAGGTGCCAACTATGGCAGGGAAAGAGTCAAGGGGAGGGTGCCAACTATGGCAGGGAAAGAGTCAAGGGGAGGGTGCCAACTATGGCAGGGAAAGAGTCAAGGGGAGGGTGCAAACTAAGGAAGGGAAAGAGTCAAAGGGAGGGTGCCAACTAAGGTAGGAAAAGAGTCAATGGGAGGTTGCCAACTAAGGTAGGGAAAGAGTCTAGGGGAGGGTGCCAACTCCGGCATTCCATTCATTGCACAGGAAATGATTTACTCATATTTGATCACATATTATATATCAGACATCAGATGATATCAGTGCCGTAAAATCAGTGGAGAAACATCTGGCTTAACGGCTTAACTCATAGAAAACATTGTTAGAATGAATAAGTTAATACATAAGTTGCTTTAATAAAAGTAAATTATATAATTTAATTATAGTAGTATTATATTACTTGAGTTAATATTTGTATATTAATAATTATTATTCGTTAAATAAAACTTCAGATTCGATTTGTTTCACTTATGGAAGTCTAGCAACTACATTTATAAGAATACAGAAGCAATTGTAAATTCTGGATCATATGCGTTTCCGGTCTCCCTAGTTTGGAGGTCGAGAATATCAACAACAATGGGTAGTACATTAGGACCTATGTGGTATACTTATGTTTCTCATCCAGATACTGCACCAGACTATAAAAATCCACCAACTTTCGATCCCATGTTAGGATTCCCAAATGGTCGAAAAGAAAAAAGTAAGGCAATTAAGTCTTGAAAAAGAAATACAAGTAGGCTGGTACAAAAATAAGCCAGTTTAGTCAGCCAATGCCACCCCCCCCCCCCCCCCCCCCCCCCCCCCAAGCCCAATGTAACTCAATGTTTTGTTTAGTCCTGTTTTTAGTTAACACAGTTTAAATTTTATAGATAGTTACAATAGGCTTGAATGGGTTTTGAAAAGAGAGTAAATTGGAAGATAGGATGCCATGATTGGCCGCCATCTTGGTTGACAAGAGAAGTTAATTCTGTCACTAATTCCAGACCTGTTTACTTGTACGATTTTGGCGTACAATGTACGATTTTTAGGTGTATACATTATATATACTGATGTTTAGTTTACTAATTGATTTTGTGATGATATTGTACGATTTTAAGAGTTTGAGGGTAAACAGGTCTGTAATTCTAAGTAAATGTGTCCCTAAACTAGGGTGACCAAATATCACACGCTCACTGGAAAGAACGGGACACTTTCATGGACGGTTTTGGGGAGGGGGGGGGGGAATACCCTCCAGCTAAGGCTAAAGAGTGGTCGAGGGGGGCCTCCGCCGGAAACTGTTTGTGGAAATATGCTCATTTTAACTATGAAATCTAACCTAGAATTAGAAATCTACTTGGGGGACTCAGTCTTTTCCTATGTCATAGGTCTATGTTTCACTGATGTGATGTTTTATGTCTGAACGTCCACTATGACCAGTACATTATTGCAAACTGTGCACTCGGCTTCACTTTCATAGTGTCCCTTTTAAATAAAGTTCCACTCTTTGGAATACTCTTCCATAAACATGCATTGACGCTTTGGCACAATTATTGTCTACATGAGAAAATAATATAAAATTAAAGAATAAAGTTCAACACCCAAAACAAACAGCTGTCACTCTGACATGAACAGGCCAGCAGGGATCACACACAAGACTAACACATTACACGTAGCGGTAACGGATTCAAAATTTTTTTCGGCAAAGTTACATCCTCCCCCCCCCCTCGCAGCTTCAATTCTCGTGTCTTTTGCTATACATTTACATATAAGAGCTATGGCAGGGACACTGTGGTGGAGGGGGAAAATTGCAGCCATCATACGAGCCCAAATCACTACTGGCACTGGCTACACAGATAGCCAAAATATTACTTGAAGTTATATTTTAAATTAGGAAGTTTTGGTGATTTGAAAATGTGTTTGGTTAAAAAAAAATAGGACATTTAGGCATCCCGAGAGACTTTTTCGGGGAACGGGTACGATCGTGAAAAAACGGGACAATCCCGTTTTTACGGGATGTTTGGTCACCCTACCCTAAACCTAATCTGAACCCTAAAATGATACTAAAATGTATCCCTAAACCTAGTCTAACTTGAGCCCTAAATGTATCCTTAAACCTAACTTGAACCCTAATTCACGGCAACTTTAATAAACACGCAAAAGACGTCGTAGCATCCTATCTTCCTGTTAGCCGAAAAGAGTTGTCTCACCCTAAGCGCAGTGACTGACAGTAGGCCGACATTTCGCAAGACCCGCTCTCCAACTTCTAGACAAAAAACAAATTATTTTTGGGAATGGATTTTCATTTTTTAGGCTTTGAACTAAGTTTTGCAATAAAAATGATTTGGACAACATTATTTGTTTTCTTATCTGCTATCTTGTTTCGGATAAGAACGGGAATTGTAGGCCTACTGTGAAGTCACTGCATTTATGTAGGTACTACGATATTTGTTCTCACATCGTTCTGCGCATGTCAAAAAATGATGCAAAAACTTGTGACCCTGTTTTGCACAATGCTATACATTTACTTTGATTTTTGCTGTTTAATCATTTTTTTCGGTAACTACATTGATACCTCATCAATGACATATTATGGGATTGTCGTCCGGTGACGCTAGTGTTAATTATGCCACGATGTTGTTCATGTGTTATGCCCAGCTATTCAGAGAACATCTGGTAAGTGCTAGATTGCTAAATACATTTTTATGCTTACAACAACTATGTATTGTTGTATATTTACTACTTCTTCACTACTTTTACTCTAAATAGTACATTTCATTTGATAATTATTCCCTAATAATAAAAGGAGTGATCCAACCCATAAATTTTGAGTTTGCATTGTTATAATTTTTAATATGATGGTAATAAAAAGAATGCCTTGCTCCTGTAAATGATTTTCCTTAAATAGCTATAGTAAATATATTTTAAAAACTTGTATAAACAATAAATGGCCACAACGTACACTTAATATGATTCTAATTAATTGATTTTTAATGTTAAGGTTGCCCTGTAATTATTTTTATTAAAGGCCTCGGCCAAATAATATTACCTGTAATTGTGTTTTTTCCTATAATTATATGATTAGGCCTAAATAGAAATCAAATAAATAAGACTCAACATCATCATTGTAATTATATTTTATTAGGACATGGGCATGTGAAAACAGATTACCTAGACAAATATTTAATATTTATAATAAAATAAACTAAACTAATGACACAATAAACGCAAAACTTGAATAATATTAAAAAGAAAAAAAATTGTGTAGATTCAGGATTATGATTAGACTTTATTTCTAGCTTCTATTTCAGTACATGAAAAATGTTAATTTTCTATAGCAGAACTCAGAATTCCTACCATATTCCATTGCCAATGGATGTAGATGGTGAAGACAAAGGAGTGGGATTCTTCAACAAGACTAAGACTGCAGAGCTGTCAACCCAGAAAATGACAGACAGAACATTCTCATTACCTTATAATTACATACTGGTATCCTCTTACTCTTATTTAATTTTGATCTTATTGGGATATTATTTTTTATTATAATTTCATGCATTCAATTTTATTTTTAGAAAAGATTTCTCCTTAAATTTTATAAATATAAGCATTGGTTTAAAATTTAAGTGGAGCATATTTAATTGAATGACAATAAACATGGTATATTTTTATTTTTGCCTCTAAATGTAATCATTTTTCCAACTGTCATTTTCAGGATCTTTTGAATTACCCTAAAAGAAATGGTCATTAATAAAAAGTCTTGATGCCGTGCAAAAGTGTTGTTTGTCTTGTGTTGTTTACTGCTTTGAGAATGTCTCCTGAAAATTTGGTTACATTAGCTTTTAAAATTGAAAAGTTCTTGGCAAAAAAAACATACCAGAAATTCTGGAAAGTCTGTCACAAGTTTTCATAATTAAATACAAAGATAAATAAGGGGGTTCTAAAAATTCACCCCCCAAAAAAATCATAGCTCCACTAAAAAAAAACCGATAGAATATGAAATTGATGGTTTTTTTAAAGGCCATCAGGCAATATTTTAATTTTTTTTCTTCAAATACTGAGCTTATGAAAGGACAAATCTTGTCAAAAATCATTATCGTAAACTAAACATTTACCAAACTATTTAATATAGACCTAAGCCTAATCTCAGTTTGGAAATAGCTTTTTGCTCCCAAGATTCTGATGAGTGACCTCCCCTATGTTTAGTAGCCGCATTGTTACTAGAGTTAATTAACTATTCTCTTTTTTTTTTTATCTATCCCAACTATTTTCTAACTCTTATCAGGACAGCTCTAGCTTTTAAACTCACTGAGGCACCAAATCTCACTGTATCCTTGTCTGCTATCTAGAATTTAATACAGTTCTGCAATCTAAAATTTTGTTGTTAGCATTGTTGTAGGTAATACTGTACAAAAAAATAATTCTATTCTATACAAATTATAAAAACTGTAGTTATATAAAGCAAACTTTCAATTGAAAAATGGCACCTTCTACTTGCTAACTTAATTTGTTTTTGAGCTTGAGCTATGCTTTTAAAATGAGAGTTCCTTGTAACCAAGTTCTTTGTGTCCCAGTTCTGTTGTTTTCTTTTTGTTCTCTTGCTTTTACATAATAATAACTTAAAAATTACTTGATAATTGATATTTTTGTTTTACTATATAAAAATGTGTATTTTATTCAGAAATAATGATGAAATACAATCCTGGACAACATATATTTGTTACATAGTCCATGTTGCATAATTCAGCTGTTATGAGAAGTGAGGAATCCACTGTTATTACTCTTAATGTTAAAGGCTGCTATAGGAAAGTGTGTCAGTTTTTAAAAAGCATTATAAATGCACTGTTTTCATGTTTAATTAAAAATAAAAAAATTAATGTAATTGTTCTGATAAATCCTTCCAAAGCATAATTTTAATATTTGACATACAGAATTAAACCTAAATCTATAGGCCTGATATAAAATTTTGTATTTTAGTGGGCGGTGTTGGCATGGTTAATAAAGGCATTCGGTATACTAGTGTACACTTTAAAAGGTGCAGATAGAAAGTGAATGATCCTAGGGCAATGATATTTGGTTAAAAAAATGAAAAACCAATGAAAATGCTGTGCCCAGATTTAACTATCCATGACTAATTACCACTAAACTATCTTTTTCATCTTATAGTTATAATTAACATATATATTTTTTTTATGAGCTCAGCATTATATTTGATTATTATTTTAAAAGTTGCTATAATCCTAGCTTTCCATGTAATACAAATATAAAATGATACAATATAATATTTAAGTTAAATCTGTTAATGAGGGAATCCTACTGGGTAAGCTTTGGAATAATTTTATACCTTTTTTTTTCAAAATAAATGTCATATTATGTGAACAATCCTTTTTTATTTAATTTGTGCTGTATTCAACATAAAAAATTAAAGTGTAGAGAAAGTGGAAGCATACAAGTACTTCGGTGTCACCATTAGTAATAAGCTAACATGGCATGAACATGGCCAAATGCTTTATAAGAAATTCAGTCAAAGACTGTTCTACCTCAAAAAACTGTACATTTCGACGTAAACAAGCAAGTCATTAATTTAGAATTGGAAGCCTACTTAATTTCAGTTATTACCTGCTGGTGTGGGAATTCAATGTCTGATATAAAACTCCGCATAAACCGACTAATCAAGAAAGCTAGGAACATAACACAAACTAAACATCCTTCACTTGAAGAACTAATTAAAGAAAGACGTTTTTGTAAAACTAAACACATTTTGGATGATACATCCCACCCTCTTCACCACAAATACTTAGGATCGGGCCAAATTTTCTCTATCAGGGCGAGGACTGAAAGATATAAAAATTATTTTGTTCCCCAATCTGTATGAATTTACTGGCGTGCTCCCTCTGAAGTCACACTAAGAGAACTCACTGAATGTCTGTTTGAAATAATTTATTATAAATGTCTTGTCTTCAAATTGTTTTATTTATGTGCTGAAAATGTATAAATGCAATCAAAAAACATTTTCATTTATTTGGATCTATAAAAGATTCTTATCTTATCTTATAAATATAATCTTTAAGCAGGTGGGCAGTGTACATAAATCCTCTTAAAAAAGATTGTGAACTTTATTTCAGTCAGAATGCATTTAGCCCAAGCTTACATTACTTAACATTGTTAAAAAAAATTTAGTCACTGTTAACAGTTCTGTTGATCACGTTCAGGACATGGTAACAAGTATTATTTTAACTTACTCAGTTTCCATTCTATTTTAGCTATCAAGGCAACACGAGAGGAACTAGACAAGGCCAATATCCCTCTGGATAAAAGAGATTACTGTGTGGATTATTTTTTAGCCTTTGTAAAATGTAGGCAAGAACACTTCCCAAGAGTTTCGAAATATTGCTCGCAGCAAAGACACGCATGGGAGCATTGTGAAAATAAAGAGTAAGTCTTGATGGAGTGGCTATTTTCTTTGAATATGTTGCACCTACTGAGTTTTTATTTTATTTTTCACAAGGGAACAAGTGAGGTTAAAACTTGTCCATTTGTATCATGGTTGTATCATTCATGGTGGACATTTGTATCATGGTAGGTATTGTTTTGTTTTGAATATAATTAATGGAATGTTTCAGTCATATTCACTTAAAAGTATCAAATAATTTACATTGCCAGTCCGTGCAACATGATTCAGTCAAAGTTTTCTCTTTCCAGTGAAATAATGAGGGTGAAAGAATGGGAACGGGAGCGACGCCTGAAAGAGAGGAGCAAGAGAATAGCCTGCAAAGAAAATCGAGAAGAAATGGCAGAGTAACATTTTTGAAACATAGGATATGGAATCTATAGCAGTCATCTGAAAACTTTAATACGTGCTGTAGTTTGAGGTTCTGTGGTACTGAACTTGTTGTATACCAGACCCACAATAAGATAGAACATGTTGATTGTTTCATTTTAATTAATTAATTAGTTAAAATAATGTTTTTCTTCCTTAAATTAATTGCCGATATAATTTTGTGTTATAAGATGTTCAGTTAGATGTGGTGAAAACATGCTGTCCGAAAAATTCTTATAAATCATTTGTACGGGATTAGGCTCGTGTGGAATTAAATTAACCAGTTTCTTAAGTGGAGCTGTGCATGAGTGTATATTTACAAGATAATAATAGTGTGGAATAAAATATTTCTTATATTAGCTATTGTCTCTTGTCTTTGCTGGTCTGTAAGTTGATACCTATTGAAACGTGACGTGGATATCAAAACTAAGCAACAGATTCTCATCACTTAAAAAGATTGGAGTCAACAAATTATGTAGTGGGGGAAAAAAAAGCAGTATAAAATTTATTTTCTTTATAAATAATAGATGATTACATAAAAGTATAGTAAGAAAACAAATGAAAAAAGTAATTATATGTGATCTGCAAGCTTTGACAAAAATGCACCTTGTAATATTATGGGGGCATCCATTTGTTAAATACATATTAAAAAAATCTGATATCCTTAGTTCCCCACCACCCTGTTGTAACTCATACATGTATAGAATCCGCACTCTGTTGCACCTAAAATACATATATGATCCCCACTCCCCTTAAAATCTGTTTAACTTCATACATCTATGAAAAATCACTCTCACCCCAATGGATAAATACAGATGATCTTTTTTTTAAAAAATTTTAAAGCCAGTCAAGGACTTTAAAAGTTTATATCTAGAACTTTTTGAACATTAAAATTAAATTTTTTATCTGGCATAACAATTTTTGGGGGGATTAAAAAATATATTTAAAAATCCAAATTCTACTTTCATCCTTAATTGTCTATGAACATTTTTTATATTAAAATATAAACAATGAAAAGACTTTGACAGATCTGAGATAAGTGTTGATTGGAGATTAACGTTGTAAACAAACAAATTAAGTCAAAATCTTTTCACTAATTTTTAAAGAAATACAAAACACTATACAAAATTTTGTTTCAACTGGAGCAAAATACAAATTAAATCATGTCTAGAAGATTGTCATCCAATTTTGCTATTTGACACCAATGTGTTTTGACTCTATGACCCCTCCATAAATGTTTAGGTTAAGGCTAAGGCCTTCCAATCCAGCAACACTTTAAGTCAGTGTATCTGTAATACCTTATATGGATGATCACTAGTCCCTGTATTTATAATATATAGATGATTCCTAATCAGTGCAACTAATAATATATGGATGATCCCTAGTCAGTGTATCTGTAATATATTGATGATCCCTAGTAGTAGTAGTCAGTGTATCTGTAATATATATTATATGATCCCTAGTCAGTGTATCTGAAATAAATAGATGATCCCAAGTCAGTGAATCTGAAATAATTAGATGATACCTAGACAGTGTATCTGAAATAAATAGATGATCCCTGGTCAGTGTATGTGTAATATATATATAAATATATGATCCCTAGTCAGTCTATCCGTAATGTATATGAGATCCCTAGTCAGTGTATCTGTAATAGTTATATATGATCCCTAGAGCAGCATTTCCCAACCTATGTTCCACAGACTGGCACAGGTCCTCACAACATAATTTAGGGGAGGGGGGGTGTTTGTTGTTGATTGGTTTACATATTTGTTTCTAGGCATCAAGAGGCCCCTGGGAATAGTGTCACAGCTGATGCTATGTGACTGTGTGCCAATGGCTAGACATTTTTTAAAAGATATGTCAAACCTATCAATTAAAATACCACAAAAAAACAAGACCAAAACAATTTGGTCAACATTTTTGGCGTGACAAGATCATGCTTCAACTGGCAACCCCAAGTATCAGTAATGTTTCTATAGAACAAAGGGGGATGCTAGATCACATAGGGTACGGTACATAAAAGTAGGACAAGATGACTGAATCCACGTGACAGAAGGGGGAAAGCAGTTATGTGGCACTCTTTGATGACCAAAAAAATGTTGGCTGTAAATTGACAGGTTTCAATTAAAATTTGCAAGGGAGTTTATTCTCTTCAAAAATTTTGCAAGGGAGTTTATTCTCTACAAAAATTTTGCAAGGGAGTTTATTCTCTTCAAAATTTTGCATACAACATGGTACGAACCATAACTAAATCCCCCAGTAGAGAAGACGGGGAGATGCGGAGGGATGTCCGTCCCCAGTGGTACTTTTTTCTTGACATTGAGGGCTTGGATTTATGGGAAATGCATTGGTGTAAGGGGGCGGCAAACATTTTGGCCTGCCCTGGACTGAATGGGCACTAAACAGACTAAACCTAGCTATGCCACTGAAATCCGAAGAAACGTTTTATCCTAGCAAGTTTTTTCTGGTCTAGGCCTAGACCAGGGGTAATCAACCTGTAACCCGCCAGCTACATGCCGCCGCTGAAACATTTCATTAAATGAGACCCGCAAGACCTTCCCAGGACTGGATTACATTTTAGTAAAGAAAAAACAACTGCACTGTGGTTCTCAGTTCAAAACAGTTGCCCACTCCTGACCCAGACAGTTGCCCACTCCTGACCTAGACACTTAATTTTTAAAAACAGCCTTAAAAGCAAGAACAAAACTATCAGTATCAACGTCTAGCTTTCGATGGTAATAGTTAATGGAATCCTATCGAATCGATTTATTACAGATTTAAAATATTTTATTCCATATTTTAGTTTAGGTGAAAAAAAGTATAATAATTAATCTGGCACAAATGGAACTATATCAACTGGTTCCTAGAATTAAAGTTTGGGAACACTGCTCTAGAGAATGACTTCACTTGTGAATTATGAGTAGTCATTTGAGCAAACACCAAGACATTTTAGATTATTACGTCTCCATTGGGTTTTTATAATAAATGACTGAAAGAACTTGGCTATTAATTATAAAATTTATACCATTTGTGTTAAAAACTCTTGAAACTGTATCTGATGATGGTATTAACTCAATTTAAACTGCTGCGTTTTGAAGAGTCCCAACTATCCGACCATAATATAAAGTTTCATTACCTTAGGTAAAAATAGCTTAAAGTTTATAATTATATGCTCAGTTTTTAATTGTCAGAACTTTTGTATAATTAATATAAAACCAATTTGAATTCATAAAAAAAAAAACATGTGTACATGTATGTTTCAATGTATGCAATTATAGAATTAGAACCGGTATAGGTAATAAATGTATTTCAGAACTGGTATAGGTAATAAATGTATTTCAAAGAGGAACATATCTAAGTATAAGTGTATTTAAGTTTAGTCACAGGACTCTTTAATTTGTTTCAGATAGTTCCAGATTAGCTTAAATTTTCAGTAGCCGACCAGTCCAGTCAAATAATTGGGACATTGCTGTATTTCACTTTCTTATAAACATTCTGCCATCCAAAAATCCATGCAAAGAAAATAAATAAGTTGACTTGAATGAGCATGAGAAAAGAATATAATTATAAACCCTAATGTGAAGCATGTCCTTAAAATTCTTACATGTGCAATTCATCTATACAAAATGTGGTTAAGCATTTAGAACACTAAACGCAATACTTTATGGCAAGGATAGATTACCTTTGATCTAGAATACGAAAATGTGTATTCAATTATTTGAATGAAATGTTGTAACGATTGTTCAAGTTTAGTAGAATGTAAAATATGCATCAAGTATGAAGAAGATTTAAGGTTTGTTCAGCTAGAATGGCAACATATTATTTTTGTTCAAATTTCTTGATCATATGGATTTCTTCCGGGTTTTTCCTTCTTGAACATGACTTCCATTAAATGAGGTCATTTATAATTGTTCATGATTTTTATACACTGACAATATGTCATAGAAAAAAAAAAAAGAGCAGTTAAAAAAAGAAAAATTTGAAGCTGCTTGTAAGGATTAAAAGAAATAGCAAAGGAAAGAATTAGATATAAAGCAGTCGCTTCAGAGGTAGATGAAAATAACAATTCATAGTTTGTGATCTGAATCATTGAGGAAACAAAGTATGATAAGTGATAGCCAAATTTGCATAAACCATCTGGTCAAGTATTAAGTGACCTCTAAAGTGTTCAACATACATTAATACCATCCATAAGTAATGAGACATTTTAGTTAGTCTAAAATTTTCTTTGTAAAATAAAAAATTAAATCAGCACACAAGTTTTATCTAAAAAGTTGTGTTGTCAACTTCACTTTCTTAACTTGCAAACCATCAGTAGATAAGGGTGCATTTGATTTTTTTGCAAGTGTATAATATTTGAATTGAAATTTTATTTGAAATAATATATATATATATATATATATATATAGCAAATACATATATAACTTATAATGTATAGAAGACTATGCAAACCATTTATAAAAAGAACTAAAAAAGCACACTGAAAACTAAATTAAAAAAAAAAATTATGTTATAAGGGCAGTGTATAGATAGTCCTGATGCAATCAGATGTTCATGCTGAGACCAGATGTTCATGATGAGACCAGATGTTCATGTGGCCAGATGCTTATTGATGTGATCATGTGTTCATTGATGTGACCAGATGTTCATGATGTCCTATTGCCCTTAATTTTAAAATGAGATACGTTTATATATAAAAGGTACAACTAATTTTGGATGGCATTTTTCATGCGATACGAAAAGGAAAATATTTAATACTGAAATCTTATTTGATGATAAAGTTGACCAAGCACATACAATTTTTTTTACCAACTTATTACAAGTACAAAATGCACTAAATACCTACACATTTTTATAATCATATTACTGTTGTCAATTCACTGAATCTATCTTGTTATAAATTATGTGAATATTTTTTCATGCAGCGTACAGATTCTATTTTATACAATATTTATTACAATGTGTATGCAATAGGACTAGCTTAAAAGATAAAGCTGTTGTTAAAAATAGTGTATACCGTAATGTAAAAAAATAATTAAAAAAACCCAATGACTTAGTTGGCAGTTTTAACACATCAGGCTGCAATAAGTGACAGGGAAATATAAGGCTGACAACATGGATGTAAACATTTTAAAAAAGCCACAACATCTTACTCAAAAGGTTACCAGCAAGAATTTTGCAGTTACTAAAAACAGACGGCAAGAGACGGCAGTAACAGCTTAGTTTGTCAACAATAAAAAAACTCGTGCTCAAAATAAATCTTTAAAAAAAAATAAAATCCGCACATAGTTGTATTCTTTAAGTTGTACATTAAGATATCCAGGGGTTGATAAGACAATTACAAATAATAGATGGTAGCAAACTGTAAATATAGTGATTTTGTTTTTGATGCCATTTAAAACAGTTGAAATCTCTTCAAAAGTAGTCATCCGAATAAGTACAATGTCGAGGTGGATTATACAAAATGATGCTGTGGTTTTTGGAAATGCCATTGGCACAACTTTGCAAGTGATATTGGCACAACTTTGCAAGTGATATTGGCACAACTTTGCAAGTGATATTGGCACAACTGGTCTGGCTGCCAACATTTTTTGTGTTGAAATAAACATTTTTTAAAAAAATATTTTTTTTTGGCTGACAGCAATAGAAGTTTAACAGAAATTGCTATTGACTTTGCAAACACTTATGGTTTCAATCAACCCTATATTTACTGGTACATACAATCATGTTATACAGGCTTTGCCTTGGAGTTGATTGGTGCACACAATAAATTGCAGATAAAAGAAAAATTAGCAACAAAATGGTAATTCTAATAATTCTATGAAAGAAAAGAAATCTGGGGAAAACTCAGTGCAACATATTCAAGAGGAAAAAAAATTATATAAAAATCATGAATTACAGTGACATCCTTTAAGTGCCTGCTAGCACAGTGATTCTCAAACTTCAGGGGCCCAAGCAGGAATTAGTCAAAACGCAACAGAGAACAATTTTATTGAGGTGATTTAAAAAAAATCTTTCTCTGAAATATTTTGCATTTTTCTGATGACCCAAGGCTGTTGTTTGGTGGACCACCACCACTTTGAGTAGCGCTGTGCTAGCTTATGTGTTAGTGGACCACCACTTTGAGTAGCAATGTGCTAGCCTATGTTTAGTGTAGACAATTAAAGTTAGCAGCTGAACATATGTATATAATAAATGAGGCAATTTTTAGATCCAAATCATCATTTCTGACCAACGGCCAGTCTAAAAAACTTTGTCTAACCTATAGGCAGAAATAATTTTGTGACATCATTGATCAGTTCTTGTTTTATCAGGATGAGTAACAATCTCTCCATGATGACAGGATGAGTAGTAATAACTGTGTGATGTGATCATTTGATTATTGCCTTCACATTCCACAGCCCACATGACATCCAAACGTTTGATATTCTCATACAAATCTTTTTATCACAGCTTTCAATGACATTGTACACAACGGTAAAAAAAACAAAAAAAAAAAAAACCAGATCAAGTTTGATTAAATTGGTTTCAACAACGACGCGGCAACATGGTTCTCTAGAAAAATAATATAATGAGCCAAACCTGCTATGTATTCTTTAGTAATATTTGAAAATAATTATGACAAAGTATCCATGTTGTTTATTCAGAATTTGCACACACAATTTAACTAGACTTGGTTTTGTGTCCTTCTATGGATCCATTCCTGTGTTTTTGTGAGCTGACTCCATTTTCCTTTGGCTTGAGATAAGCCTGGACATAGAAGTTTGCAAACATAATCAGAAATATAACAGCATAGAAGCCGATCCAATACACAAAGAATATTGGGTAGTTGCATTCCATGAATAATAACTGGCAAGAGTGAATGGTGACGGCCACAAACTGGATCTGAAAAAACAAAAAAACATTAAGGAGCAATGTAAAATAGATAAAAATTAATTATTCACAAAGAGGTCGGAGACATTTAACTTTAACATGATAATTAAAAAGATGAGAAACTAAGATTTGCTGCCTGATTTCTCAGTATCAAAAAATAAGATTTCAAGGCAATCTTACAATAAGATTTCAAGGCAATCTTACAATAAGATTTCAAGGCAATCTTACAATAATATTTCAAGGCAATCTTACAATAAGATTTCAAGGCAATCTTACAATAAGATTTCAAGGCAATCTTACAATAAGATTTCAAGGCAATCTTACAATCCGTTACTGCTATCAGGCTCTTAAGATTGACCAACAACAAAATATATACAAAATTCAGCGTCCTTTTCATTATCATGACCGGTAAACAGATTAAATCTGATACTTTATTTATAATAATTGACATAAATAGGATTGTTAAAAACATTTTAGTTTGGGGGGGAGGGGGCGAACATGGACTTGAGGTGTGTACATTTTTGAGATTGTGGTGTGGAACGGATACGTCGGGTCGGCGGCATGTGTGAATCCTTCCAAACCTGATTCCCAAACATGCCCACCTACTAAGCAAGGGGGCGGGAAAAACCCTTTATGATGTTTGGTCTGGCAACCTAACTACCATACATTTATCTGTAAATATTTACTACTGCTCTGACAAGAATGTTACTCTTTTTAAAGAAATCCATAGGCTTTTATCTATTTCAATATAAAGTTACTAGAATGCTAGAGTTCAAAGTTCAGCATGAGTTTCCCTGCTCACTAGAAGATCACAAGACTTGCAATACTAGAGTTCAAAGTTCAGCATGAGTTTCCCTGCTCATTAGACTAGTAGTTTTAGATTATCAAACAAACAAATCAATTTAGAATCTATTGAAATTGATAGTACAGTAACATTGATCATCTTATGCTTAGATATTACTGCCTATGGGCGACTGTAATAATGTTGATGCCCAAGGACTTGTGAAAATGCACAGATAGTCAACTCTAGATATTATAATTGAAAAGATATTCTCTGAAATTTTTTTAATAACTCTTATTTTTAAAAAATAAATATCATTTAATTTCTTAACGGAGTTATGTCCATTTGGTTAGTTCTATTAGAGTAGATGTCTGGAAATTTTTATTTTTTTTATCTATTAGCCCATAATATGTTTGGCTGACATTACCCACTCCATTTGAAGAGGAAGACAACAGTTTTGCATTCGAAATGTTTTGTCAAATATATTTATAATGAGAATAAAATTATATATATGTAAAAAAATATACAATAAATGCGATAAAATAAATGTATAAAACCATGAAATATTTCAGAGTTTAGTTAGACAATATGTAACTGGACCAAAAAGGGATATAAAAAAACAATATGTGCGGTTATGGTAGCTGCCGAACCATTACTAACCACAAGTTTGATCCATTGTCTATTACACTGGCCTGATACTGGTTAAGCAGAACAATGACAGAAATCCTAACAAGGAAGCACTTTTTATATAATTTTGTAAGGTCTGTTTAACCCAAGATTTTAGTTTTTACCCCACTTGGGGTAATTTACTCCTGTATTAGAAAGATTATGTCAAAATTAGTTTAAACAGGACTAGGTCAACGCACGTAACATCCCATAGCGTCATAAAGACGAATAGTTTTGAAAATGAATTTATTATTTTATTTGAAATTTTGTCATTGAGACGGCTATTATTATTTGTGAGAGAAGAAGCATTGCTTGAAACACTCACCATTTGCATGCTTGTCATGTACTTTTTCCACCACAAGTATTTCTGGAAAGTTGGTCCCAAGGCAGACAAACCGTAATATGTGTACATGACTAAATGAATGAAGGAATTCAGCAGCGAATGGAATGTACCAAATCCTCCTGAAACAAGCAGAGTCAAATAAATATATTTCACTTAATTGTAAAGGTTTGGTTAAGTGATCAACTCAGAAGTGACGGATCTTCCCAGGCTAACTCACATTTAACCATTTAAGATTAATATTCTCTACCAATCTCTGCTCTGTTCTTCTGCTACTAAGCAATCACATATGGATCTCTGCCTTTCATTCGAGATGGTGATACAGATTATGAAATACTAGTGACACTGCCAAACTCTATTTTGTAAAACAAACAATAAATCCACCAGTTGTGAGATCAGCGATTTGGTTTGTCTGCTAAGACATTCGTCTTCAATCTAAAAGTTAAGCTAAAGGTTTTTTAAATTATTATTTTTAAAGAATAATGTAATAGTGAATAGGGCCCCCACGATAATTTATTTTATAAAATGATTTTTACAGTAGTTGTGAAAGCATGAGGGACTGACGATTATTGTTGTCATGTGTATCGACTGAACGTTGCGACAGGATTGTCCTCCTATGTTGTCATGTTGTATTATGACTGGAGGTGGTGGGGTCATGAATGTTTAAACTTAAATGTGTAAAAACTGGTTGGAGAACTGGAGTCAGTGGTGATGGGATAAAAAGATACTGGTTGGAGAACTGGAGTCAGTGGTGATGGGATAAAAAGTTAGTAGGTAGCATGGGGAATAAAGGTTAGTTTTTCTATAGGCCACAGCCTTGAGTTTATAGCTCATTATACTATTCAAAGATGAAATAATATGAATTACATTTGTCGAATAAACAACCAAACTAAATTTGAGTTCTTGGCATTAAATGTATTCCATACCTGGGACAAATTTCACTCCAAACCACCATGAGATGGGCATGATACCATGATGAAATACATGAAGAAAAGAAACTTGATTGAACTTTTTCCTCAGAATAAAGAAGATCTGAAGGAAATATGAATAACATATTAGGGTGTTTCACATAAAATTACAAATAACAATACTGTTACCTTTCATCTTTCCACCACTGTCTTGAGCCAATGGATCTTAGATACGGTACAGCAATCTTTAATCTTATACTACTTCAGAAAAACTTGGGCCTGGAAAAAATGCTTGCGCTAATAATCATTGACTCACCGTATCAAATAATTCTATGAACTTGGAAATATAGAACAACCAGCAGACTCTGGCCATCTGAAGAGAAAAAAAAAAGCTAATAAATTTTATTGAGTTAAAAAATTAAAAAGACAAGCTATATAATCCAGAGTCATAAAACAATATATGAATTTATCATAATTTAGACTAACATATAAGAAAATAAAACATTAAAATTTATGACTAAGTAACACTATATTTTTTATGTAATGCATAAATGTTGCGTACTCTGAGAGCTTGTGGTGAGTCTGAGTAATCCACCGGCTGACATCCTAGACTGTAACCTGCCAGCCATCCACTCATTAAAAACTGAGGAAATAGACAAACACCAACATCTAAAGGTGGAACATAGCACTTGGTAAAAAAAAAAATCTACCACTAATACTAATAGGTGAATCTATAGTTATCATATGCACAGTTACCAACAACTTTTTTTACTAACTTTTAATAGAACTTTTTAAAAATTTAGTGTCTTTCTAGATTTTTTTCAGGTAGCTGCAGAGCAACTGTAAGCTTTTCGTTTAGACTAACATTTTTTAAACCCACACCAAGTTGACTATTTATTCAAAGCTGGGGGTGACTCTGGGGCAAACATCAGACAATAATGTTGCCATTGGAAACAGGAAGGCCTAGCAATGTAGCAATTTAAATTAGTTAAGCCATGGGAATAATTTTCATTTTGAGCAGGATTAAGTAGCATATGAACTGAAAAATTACAATATAAATTATATTTATAAAATGCTTTAAGATTGGTATATAATGACGCCATTTACCTCATAAAAAGTGTATGTTGATAAGGCAACCATAGCTAAGTTATAAACCACCAACAGGTTCCTCAATTCAAATGGCTTACGGTTTTTCATAATTGATGGTGAAACCCAGACGAAGACAAAGTAGCCTAAGCAGATGAGTAGACTTGGTATGGGAGTGCTCATCATAAACCAGTTCTGAACACGTGGATCTGAAATATATGTTGCATAATCAGGCATTTAAGTACTTAAGACGTCCATAGTTTAACACTGATTAACAATGTGTTATAACGTATATATTACAGCGCAGCCTGCTATAAGTTTCCTTATTTTAAATATAAAAAGAGTTCTATGCTGAGGGTGATTAGACATTTTTAAAACCATTTTTTTTTCTTTTAAAAATATCCCTTTGACAAAGAATTTTACCAAAACACAACACTCTCTTGACAAATATCTTGACTTTCTTCCCAAGTGCTGTTATAACTAGTAGTATTTGTGACGTCACAACAAATGGTTGTGCAACCAGTGAAATATCCTCATTAACACCATTCACAGAAACATTGCAAATCCCCTCTACATGCATAGGAGTCAAAATGAACAACAAATTGATCATGGGCCCTTAATATATAGAAGAAGAAGAAGAAATGGAATCAATTTCATTTTGCTTCTTTAACTTGTATTATGATCCCACTTACCTGCATTTTTATACATATCATCATATCCTTTTATGGCTTTTGCTACTAAGCTGTCTTGTTCCATTCTATTGTTTTTTTGGATTTAAAGTTGTATCTGTGAGCGAAAAGTTTAAGAGTGTTTTTTAAAATTCTGAGAAAATTGGAGAAAAATATATTTCCAAAGCACTAGGTTGGTATACCCAGATTGCCACCACTGTAAAGATTAAATAAATAAACAAGTGCACAATAGCTGGGTAGGATTACCAAACATACTCTTTGAATCTTTTACTTTTAGATTACATGCAACACTTCTTATTTGACGTTGTCAAGGAACGATGCCTCTTTTACTAGCCCCCATGTCAAAGTCTTATGGAAATCTTCATTACTTGTGAACATATTTACCAGAAACATAATTTAACAAGCCAAATATCCAACATAACTTTATGTATTAGGCCAAAGATGTATTTGGAAAACAAGCATGTGAATGATGGAGTCTAAAGAAAAATATTTTCAGTTGAATGAATAAAGTTTTTAGTAAAACATAGTTTAAACTTAACAAGAAAACACTGTTGACTCTGTGAAACATTGTTATGGCAGTAAAGCAACTGATTGACAACCATTGTTTTAACAGGAAAGTTTATAAAGACCGTAAGACTGTGGGGGTGAGAAAAATGGAGGGGGTGTATGGTTAGGATAAGTTTATGGAGCGAAGGGAAAAAGTTTGAGAACCACTGGTTTAAAGTAAGACAAGTTATTCATTAAAACTAAATATTATATTGGATTTTAGAATCTCTAATTATTTGTATCAGATGTATCAATTCCCGGGGCGCCACACTGAAGGTGACTCTATTGCATATGTGCTTAATTTTTCAGCCTTTGTAATAATTTAGTAGGTTTTTAAAATGTTTTCTTTAGACAATCAAGGATCAAGGAGTAGAAAATGCCTTAAGTCTGTTTTGAACTGATAAACTTGTCTTTTTAACAGCGTTTAAATTGAATTTTTGGACATCATAGGCATAACCCCACACATATTCACATTTGCCATGTTGTAAACAAAGGGATCATATTAACAACCCACAGTCAAGACACCTACAGATACTATGATTATACATGATCTTTGAAAAAAGCTAATAATGCCATTCTAACAGAAATGCCAAAACTCTTCAAAATACCAAAGTACACACAAGAACCGAACAGTTATTCTCACCATACAATGACTCACTGAACGCCATGCTACAGAATAATTTTAGGGAACAACAAAAACTTTGACGAAGGTTTCAAGACTGAAAAAAATCATGTGGAATGTAATAAAACAAATTTCCATTTTTTTTGGATCAACAAAACTTATTTTGTTGGACCAAGTTTGGTTTTCTTTAATTCCTATAAATATTTTCTTACCGCAAAGTTAGATTCCTCAAGAATGTATACGATTGCTATTAATAGGAGTAATGGTTAAATTTTGGGTTAACGGTATGGGTTTTAGCCTAGATTTGTCTCACACTAAGCGGAGTGACGTCACTTTGGGAAATCACAACACTGGATTAGGGTGAATAGACAAACTGTAGGACCTGAACGATGAGGGTGTGATAACTTTTCTATTCTTTAGTGAGCATTACTGGTGTCATAAACTAAATCTGACGTTTGATACGGTTAATATGAGATATATTATAATGAAATTTTCCATTAATTTGTAGTAAAATTGAACTTAGATGTTTCAAAAGAAATGGGAAAAAAAACACATCCATGCTGATACCCCAAGACTCAAATTGGGAGACCCTTCCCCCACTTTAAATACCAAAATAAGAAACAAAGAAATCATCTGAATCTGGGGAGTGCCCTCCACCTAATTTCAAAATATGAATTAAGAAAACAAAAACTTGCATTGAGTGAACACAAACATAAATATCCAAATCTTTCGAATATGGCGCTGTAGACAGAAGTTGATCGGGGGAACCTCCGTGACCTATATACCGTGCAACACATCGCCGGACTTACCGCTAACCCCAAATCAACTGCAGGGTGATGCTTTCCAAATAAATGATGGCAACAGGTCTTTCTCCAAAAAATTTCTAAGTTAAATTTACACTATCCGTTACAGTAAAATATTTGAAAATATTAATAGTATGGTTTAAATTGCAAAAAAAAATAATTAGTGATACATTTTGTCTATCTATGGCAAACGTAGCAACATTATTGTATCCCTCTATATTGCTATGTAGCAAGAAGTGTCAACAACATGCTGTCACTACATTCCATCACCTAAAACATGTGTGTTACAGTTACTCATTGTGGTATAAAAATTGTAAAAATGAAAAAACATAAATAATACTTTAAAATAAAATAATGAAAACCAAATTTAGTTTCATTGATTACATTTTTATACACTTTATTACATTTTCCACCAAAAATCCAAACTACTCCAGACAGAAAAGTCCATTTTTAAAGATTATTAGACTGTCAGACAAGCAAAAAATAGCCAGCCTAGCTTTGAAATATCATAATTAATCATGGCATCATGCTATGAATTAATACTATTACTATTATGAAATATTAATTTTAACAAAAAATTAAATTCATTAAATTAATAAAAATATGTGATTAATCTCGCCATTGTGATCATTGTGTATTATTAAGATAAGATAAGATTCTTTATTATTGATTAAAACTAACGTAATTTTTTTGATTACACTGTAATTGTACATATTTATTTTCAGCACATAAAAAATAAATACATATTTGTAACCAATTAATAATATTTAAAAAAAAGAGACACTTCACTAGTTAAAATTAAACTTTAACACACTAATGACTAATGATTAGACTAATCAACTGGTCCATGCCGTAGTCGGGGCGTAGTCGTGTAGCCGTAATGCATCAAACTCCGTATCCGGAAATTTGATCGAAAGAAATTTTGTTGACAGAAAATTGATAGATGAAAATTTGATCGAACGGAAATTGGTTCAAATCTTTTTTCAGTTCAAATGTTAAAATTTTTAAGTACCAAGTCTAATGAGTGTGAAGACGTGAAGAGTAGTGAAGCTAGTGAAGAACACCGATTCCTGGTCTGAATGAATGATAATGAATCAAGTACATGAACACAGTAAAAAATATCAAAATAATTTACTATCTTTGGCAGTCCATGTCTTTATTAAAATATAATTAAAATGAGCCTGGATTCAGAATGACTTGTAAAATACATAAATAGAACTAAATTAATTCCTAACCTGGTTTATCAGGCCACCATTGGTAGGTCAGGTGTGGGGGTCAAAGTACACAATCGGCAAGGGAGCCTACTACAATAATAATAATACTGTTAATAACTAACCGGGTGCAGCTTTTTTTTTTTTTTTTTTTTTGACACCGGGTCCGGAGGTCCAAGCATAAAAAAAAAAAAAGTTAAGTTCTATAACATATGCCGGTCAATAAACAATAGGCCAACAGACAGACAGTCCTAAACTCTACCGCTCCCTGCCGGCCTGTAAACAATAGTGTCAATAGCACTACAGTCTACACTTCCTGCACCATACTCATATCCGTTGCTCTTTACTGATTAATATAACGAAGTGGCTATTCGGACCCGGGTCCGAGAAGTTTGAGGTTGGGATAAAGAAATTTTTAAAATTATTATTGTTCGGTTGTAAGACAAAATGTTGTATCAAATGAAAGATAATTGAATGGACTATATGTTTGTAAACTAAATTCTTCAGTTTAACTAAAATAAACTACCACAAATGACATCTGAATAGCATTGAGTTAAAGGGACCCCGGTAAAACATGCAGGAAATTCAGGGTACAGCGACAACAGAAGAGCTGTGGGTGAAGTTCACGACAACAATCACTAGTGCAGTGAATAAATTCATACCACTCAAGGCCACCAAACCTAAGATAAATCAGCCATGGGTCACGGCCGAAATCCGTAGGCATATCCACAGGAGAGACCGCTAATACAAGCGATTGAAGAAAAATGGCTCGGTTGAACTGAGAGAGGAGGTACTGAGGCTCCGCTGAACCATTCAACGCTTATTGCGCAGATCTTATTGGCACTACCTGAACGGCAACTTCTCAGAGGAAGGCATCCCGACCAAGAGTGTCAAGAACAAGCGCTTCTGGAGCTATGTGAAGCACCAAAAGTCCTCAAACGCTGGAGTTCCCCCCCCCCCTTTTTTTTTGAGTTGGGATGGCCATTTGACATCTGAGCCAAAAGCACAGGCTGACGTACTCAATCAGCAGTTCAAGTCAGTCTTTGGTGACGGTAGAGAGTACTCGGAGGCAGAGTTCCTTCTGAAGACAAAAATGATGAACAGAGCCTACCCTGTCATGGAAGATATCCAGATATCAGTGCAGGGTGTGCTTGCCCTCCCCAAAACCATTAACCCCTTCAAAGCATGTGGTCAAGGCTCTCCATAATGCACAAGATAAATAATAGGCTAGTCCACTGTTCCATTATTAAACAGAAACTCGTCCCTCTCCCCTATGGACAGCCGCGAGGCCATGACAGGCAATTCAGGCTCATACCAGCAAGCCAGTATAGGAACTGCTCATTCCTGCCAAAGACATCCAGGGACTGGAACAAGCTTTCAAAAGGAACAGTTGAGGCGACAACACTAGACACATTTGCGTCCATTGCCTCAAGCCTTCCAACCACCAGTGCATGATTCCCTCACAAAGTAGCACTTGCAATCACTAAAATATCCTCATCAACACCAGGCAAAGAAACATTGCAAATCCCCTCTACATGCATAGGAGCCAAAATGATCAATACATTGATCGTGGGGCCCTTAATATATAGAAGAAGAAGAAGTCTCCATCGTTATAGGATATTGTAACAGTTAGTCATTAAAGGAGTTTTCACCTTCATCCATAGTGGCCCCAACCCCTTCTATTTAAAACAGCGGTTCTCAACCTGTGGGTCGCGACCCCTTTGGGGGTCGCGGGACCCTTTTCCAGGGGTCGCCTTAGACCATCTGAAAACATATATCCTTACAGCTGTGAAGTAGCAACGAAAATAATTGTGTGGCTTGGGGGTCGCCACGACACGAGAAACAGTATTAAGGGGTCGCGGCACTAGAAAGGTTGAGAACCACTGATTTAAAATATCTCAAAAACTATTTAACCCATTGAAATATAAAATAGCATCTTAGAGAGCTGAGACAAAATTGCACAGATCACATAGAACTATAAACTAGCATCTTAGAGAGCTGAGACAAAACTGCACAGATCACATAGAACTATAAACTAGCATCTTAGAGAGCTGAGACAAAACTGCACAGATCACATAGAACTATAAACTAGCATCTTAGATAGCTGAGACAAAACTGCACAGATCACATAGAAATATAAACTAGCATCTGAGATAGCTGAGACAAAACTGCACAGATCACATAGAAATATAAACTAGCATCTTAGATAGCTGAGACAAAACTGCACAGATCACATAGAACTATAAACTAGCATCTTAGAGAGCTGAGACAAAACTGCACAGATCACATAGAACTATAAACTAGCATCTTAGAGAGCTGAGACAAAACTGCACAGATCACATAGAACTATAAACTAGCATCTTAGATAGCTGAGACAAAACTGCACAGATCACATAGAAATATAAACTAGCATCTGAGATAGCTGAGACAAAACTGCACAGATCACATAGAAATATAAACTAGCATCTTAGAGAGCTGAGACAAAACTGCACAGATCACATAGAAATATAAAATAGCATCTTAGAGAGCTGAGACAAAACTGCACAGATCACATAGAACTATAAACTAGCATCTTAGAGAGCTGAGACAAAACTGCACAGATCACATAGAACTATAAACTAGAATCTTAGATAGCTGAGACAACACTGCACAGATCACATAGAAATATAAAATAGCATCTTAGAGAGCTGAGACAAAACTGCACAGATCACATAGAACTATAAACTAGCATCTTAGAGAGCTGAGACAAAACTGCACAGATCACATAGAAATATAAAATAGCATCTTAGAGAGCTGAGACAAAACTGCACAGATCACATAGAAATATAAACTAGCATCTTAGAGAGCTGAGACAAAACTGCACAGATCACATACAAGTCGTTAGGGCTTTGGTCAGGGATTTTAATTATCACTCGGGTGTAGTCCCCAGAGTTAGGCATTTTACCCCAGGAAACTGGCCAGAAGGCAAAACGTAGACCGTCTTGTTTTCGGTTTGACGGAGGGGCTCTCTCATATGTCCGCGCAATGCTTTATAAACGGGCGCACCCTAAATAGGGGGTCATTCGAGGTTTTGAACAGCACCCCAGAAGTGTGTCATTGTTCAGTGCGGCCCATTGGAAAGCTCTGTAAGTAGACACAAATGCGCCATTTTATTTCTATGTGTTTTAGTATGAACTTATTAAGTGTTAGTAATTGAAGATTTAGGTTCAGACTTATAACCACGAAATACTGTAGGAGGAACCTACAGCCTCCTGTTGACTTATAACCAGGATATACTGTAGGAATAACCTGCAGCGTGTAGACTTTTGATCATGGTATTTTAGTGGTTGAACATACAACCGTCCACTAAATTCTTTAATAGAATTAATTATACAAGTAACCAGTGTTTGTGAGCATAACAGGCAACCGTATATCGGTCTGGTTACACATACTGCAATGTGCTTATAAGCTATTGATACAACATTATACAACCAGCGAATGTACGTCAAATTAAATATTTGTTATAGGCTAACTCTCCTGCCGTGTGCTAACTTCTCACACAGGAAATGGTGCATGAGTTAGGATAATGTTACATACTAGCATAAATGACCCAATGTTATTGGGATGTTATCGGGATAATACTGGTAGGTCCTTTGCGATAATTTCTAACTGCTATTGCAAAAACTAATCACAATTCATAACTTTAAAAATGTAATAATATTTAAGTTTTTAACATCATTAAGTTTTGAGAAGTATTTATCTGCTATATATTTTACGCCTACCCTGCTCCCTTTCACGCGCCTAAACTACTTTTCCCACCTCTAAACATGACCTTAAATTGATATATTATATTGATATCTTCATCAAAAATTTAAAAACATTTTTGCCTTTAAAAATTTTTAAAAATACATTTTCAGAAAATCTTAAAACAAAGAATTCTTTTATCTAAAGACGAATCTCGCAACTGTTTTTCACGTCTATGACAGACTTGTATGTCTTTTTTAAATTGTATAATCTCATAAAAATATACACCCACTTTAATTTTCGCAAAGTAAAAACATTTTTTTCATTTAAAAAAAAAAAAAAGAAAATATTAACCCATCTCCTTTTTTTCAAAATTAAATTTCTCAAGTGTGTAAATTGATTGGGTTTTGATATTCATGGGTATACTTACATACATTTACCCACATTTTGTTAACGCCATTGATTTTCTTAATTGTTAACCAAATATTTATTAGTAAAAAGTGAATGTAACATCTCTTTTATCACAAAAGGAATACCATAGGATTTAAATATATTGTCATCCACGTAAAAATATACACATCCTATTTCCTACCTCCGATATGTATGTACCCATGGAGGTTAATTATTTATCAAATTCATTCATTTATTTTGAGACTTATCTTGTGCTGCCTGGGGCAAAATAACCACACCCCTCAATATTTTTTTAAATTAAAATTAATACAACCCTCCATCGGATTGTAATCCCTTCCATACCAAAACTAACATATTTTGCACTTCATATGGTTGTTCTTATTTGGATGAGTTACAAGTAGATTAGTGAATGCTATTTGGCTATGGAGTTTCCCTGCACTGATTGACTTAAAACGCATTTTCTTATTAGAATTATATCTAAAGGTTAGTTTTTATTATGTAACAAATTTAATAAAAGTATATTATTTGGAATAAAAAAAGGCAAAACTTTTTAAATGTAAAAATATACAAAGCAAAAATGTATGTGTGTTTTATTAACAATTTAAAAAGCAATCAATAGTATTTATTAATTTTACTTTTAAGAAAGGAAAATACATTATCAGTTTTGTCACGCGCGGTTATTACATTTAAAGAAACCTAAGAGTTTTGGCGAAATATTCTATTCGCGCTATGACGTCATTTGCGTGATTACTTATTATTTAGAACAAATTAATTTTAATTTTATTTCGCAATATTAACAACGCACTAAAAGACGCACTAAAAAGACTGATGCTTGGGTTTTCCCGATAAATGTGCTTACAGTGTAATTCTTTGATCATGATTTTTTTTCGTAACTTTCAAACACATATAAATATACAATGCTTA